GTAGGGGCGTGTTTGTTTTGGTGATTTCAAATATAAACATTGGCTACCAGAAATCCCTCACTCTACCTTTAAAGAAAACTTACGAGTATACTTGCAGTATAAAACTACTAAACTAGTAGTTTACTGAGACTATACTTCAAAGTGTACTAAAAACGCTACAATTATTTAATTAGTAAACTATCAGTATACCTATTAGTTCACTTTTAGTATAGTTGCAGTACAAGCTAAAAATATTGTTGTAAACTAGTTGTGTACTTAAAGTTTACTACTGTTATACTTAAAGTATACTTTTATATACTAGAAAGTGGGCCAATTTAGTCCCAAGGAGTATTGAAATAGTACACTTACAAGTATACTACTAGTAAACTGATATTTGTATACTTACTACATGAAGTATACTTAAAAATATACTTGAACTTTACTTAAGTATACTTAATAAAATAAACTTGAAGTATACTACTTTTTGGTAAGGGTTATAATGTTGCGTCTGGTTATGACACGGTGTAAAAATCACAACGCTTGTTACCAAACTCACCAGTTAATGCTGGCAGGTGGTGAACTAAAGACTCTGCAGTCCATAATCACACTCTTGTCTAACATGGTCGCGTACTCCAGATAATTTGGCGTCAGAATCAAAGGGGGATGATCTGAGAGAAAGCCAGATCATTAGTCAAAACATTCGTGCACACAGACAAACATCAAACAGCCAGCGCGGCATATGGCTCACTTTCTGTGCTGTAGTTTGAAACCGAGGCAAACTCCCGAAATCACAATTAAACTGTAAAAAAGCTATTAGCATATAAAAGAGCTCTCTTCTTCTGCCAGCTACAAACAGGAAACAGTGACCGAAGTAGGTCATAGACACACACTCATGCACACGTTTCATGTTTTTCTTCTACGTCAATTACGAACCAACAGCTGCTGAAACCCTTAAGCCATTACATGTCAGCAAGAGCATCATATCATAATCAAAGGCAAGAAAACTTCAATGAGGACCACAAGCCTCTCTTCTGGTGCTATGTGATTAATTGATACATGTAAATTAGGTGGGTTGCGCATCAGTAGCACTAACCTACAGTATTATTGCGCTCTAAAAATCGCAATATGATATTCATCTTCCAATTTACACAGGTAAGTGAAGTACTCACTCATGACAAGCACGTTAGTGTTGACAAGCAGGGTCCCGTGCTTGTTGGAGGCCTCACACTGGTACACGGCAGTGTCATTTTGCTCTGCTCTGAGGATGATTATTCTGTCATCAAGCATTTTGTAATTGGTAGAAGGAAAATCTGGGGAGAAAACAAAGTTGAATTGGCACCCAAAGTGTTTAGGAGAGACTGGGGTTAGTTGTCACATGGGCTTATACAGTACACTACCGTTCAAAAGTTTGGGGTCAGTAAGATTTGTAATGTTTTTGAATGGTCTTTTTTGCTCAGGCTGCATTTATTTGATCAGAAATACAGTAATATTGTGAAATAGTTTTGCAATTTAAAATAACTGCTTTCTATTTGAATATATTTTAAAATGTAATTTATTCCTGTGATGCAAAGCTGAATTTTCAGCATCATTACTCCAGTCTTCAGTGTCACATGATCCTTCAGAAATCATTCTTAAATGCTGATTTGCTGCTCAAGACACATTTATTAATATTATCAGTAAAAAAAGTTTAAATAGAAATCTTTGTTTTACTGTCACTTTTGATCAATTTAACGCATCCTTGCTGAATTAATTTTAAATAGTAGTATCTTAATAAAATCTTACTGTTCACGTGAAACCACAGAAATGTAAGATTGTTTGAGGGGCAATAACAGTGGAAATGTTCAACAGCTAAGACTAGAAATTATCCATCTAGACACAAACTGACTTTTAAAAATAAACCCACTCTGAGTAATTGTGTAAAAAAATGTTACAGCTAGCCCCGGTGTTGTCTATATTGTAATATTTCACATCATTATAGCAGCAATAAACTTCTGAGGTACTGTACATATTTAGAAGATTCACCATTGACTTTTTTCATCTGCTGCTGATATATCATTTTACCAGAGCATGTAAATTGTGCATAAATACAGATGTGGCCACATATTCACCGCTGTTTACAAAGTCTAACGGAAAGGAACACCAGACTGTTCTCACAGCCTGTAATTGCACATTTGGCAGTGGCTTTGAGCCGACAAATTCAGTCAAATTGGGCATGATAAGGGTGGGAGTGGAAGGGCTTTAACACACCATCAAGAGGCTGGCCATTTCTCTTCCAGGTGATTGTGGGTTGTGGTTTTCCTCTAGCAGAACACTTGATGTGGATGTCAGATCCAATCTCTGCTAACTGACTCTTCACTGGCTCCTCCTGCCAGCTGGGCAGTTCTGAGACACACAACATATGAATTGAATATGGATTAAAGCAACTTCCTAACTAGAGCAATACTGCCCCCCTGTGTTTATAAGTGACACGACTTAAAATATGTGCTTTGTACAGCCAATATGCTAGAAATATGCATGCTAGTGAGACTTATAAATACGCTTCATATAAAAATAGTTCAGGTAAGAAACTTTAATTAATGCATTAATTATACCGTAATTATCTAACAATGAGCAACATGTTTGTCAAAGTATTTATAATCTGTCTTAATGTTAGTTATTAAAAAATACAATTGTTTTTTGTTAGCCAATGTTATCTCCGGTCATTAAATAATACTGACGTACAACTTTTGATTTTAATAATCATTAGTAAATGCTGAAATTAATTTTAACTAAGATTAATAAATGCTTTAGAGGTATATTTCATTGTTTCATTGTTAGTAGTATGTGTAAATAATATTAACAAATGGAACCTTGAAGTGTTACCAATTATACTTGTCAAACTAATATACTAACTAGAATAAATGGGAATCATCAAATACCCAGATAAAATTCAGGCTTAAGACTTTGTAAATGTTTGCATACCCTCCACAACAACATGAAAATGATGCACAGCTTCACCAAGATCATTCTTGGCTTTGCACATGTATTTCCCTTCATCCTGATCTGTGAGGTTTGGTATAGTCAGAAGCTTTCCATAGTTCTTGATTTGTGTACGATTTGGTAAGTTGTCCCACATCTTGATCCATTCTACCACCGGTGTAGGCCTGAGAAAAGACCAAAATAAACCGCTGTCACTCTCTCTGTCAGTGGAAATGCTTTGCCGCCGTGTAACATTTGTAAACCCAACATGGCCATAGAGAAGTGAACTCACAGTCCTTCTGCGATACACTCCAGCTCCAGCTCTTCTCCTTTTTTTAGGTATGTCATTGAATGACTGGAGGGCACCAAAATGCTAGGCTTCCTCTTCTGAACTGAATGGGGACAAATGAGGGTAAATGGCCTCAACATGGATTAAAAAAAAAGAAACACACTTTCATGTCTGAACAAGAATGGACCAAAGTCTGAATAAAAATTCAAGATATATATATATTCAGAGAACAGGCCATTATAGCACACGATTTTGTAAAGTGACAGTAAGAAGTTATTTTGTCACATGTTAATGATTCTTATATAAACACAGCTCAGTCTGAAGAAAATCTCACAGTCTGAACTCCAGAAATAGCTGACAAACTAGCAAGTGCTAAATCCCAACAAAGCTTTATCTTAAACTTCTTGTGGTTTTTTAAGAAAAGCCCTTAGATAATAATCATTGTAACAAAAGCCACAAAAAAACAAAAATCAAGGTTTTTGGGTATTTTACAAGATATGTTAATCTTTGCCATGTGACTCACCAGTCGTGATGTCATCATCCGCCTGGCCTGAATATAAAAAAAGAAAGAGAACGGTTTGAATTTTCAGCACATTTAAATAGTAATAAATATCATATATACAGTACGTACATAGCATATATATACACACACACACACACACATTCTCTAAGAACTGCTGGGTTCAGCCTGTTAGGTGATTTTATTGGGTTGTTTATAAATATATATATATATATATATATATATATATATATACTGTACACACTCTCTCGCCATCTCTCAGCTACGAGTGAAACGTGCTTCGCAGCCTTTCACCAGCTCAGATTGCGGCGACACACCGGCACGAGAATTAGCAATATTTCGGTGAAAAGTGATTACAGAGAACGTCTCGGTTACGTATGGTAACCCTCGTTCCCTGAAGGAGGGAACGGAGACGTCGATGCAATAATTGCATGCCAATGTGCATTGGCTCGTTTAGTTTACACTCGAAGTAGATTGGTCTATCGAAGTGATATCCCAATTCATCGGTCACGACGTGACTCGTAGTGACCGACTGAAAGGGAACAGTTGAATACACTTAAATTAAAATGCTACTTTTAAATGTTTCAATTTTATTTCTAAAATGCTTGTTAAACGAGTTTAAATGTATGTAATATTGTAAACTATGCTGTATTCACCCAAATAAATTCAATTTGTCTTGTATTTTGTCCATGGGTGTTCTTGCTTAATACTAAATGTTTATCTTTTGATTATTGCTCTTGCCTCTAGTAATTCTGTGCGTGATTTTTTGTTTTCATTTCCAGCCCATTTTAAGCCAGCAATATAATGATTTTTAAACAATGGTTGACTTAAATAAACAACACAGCATTTTGGGTAAAAACATTTAATGTGTTCTGTCCAATATTTACCCAGCGCTGGGTTGCCAAATAACCCAAGTTGGGTTGTTTTTAACCCAGCATTTTTAAAAGTGTATATACTGTATATGAAGAGTTCAGATGCAAAATGAACCGTTTGAAATTGTCTTTTAAATTGAGCATTTTTATCAGGTTCCTATGTGTAGGTTCAGTAATTTCACATTAATGGCAATGAATAGGTTCTTTTCATTGCTATTCAAGTGAAATATCTGAACATAAACATAGGAGCCTGAGAAAAATGCTCATTTTAGAAAAAAATTTCAGATGGCACTTAGAGGCTTTTGCATCTGAACATATATATGCATATATACATGTAACTGTACTAAGGATACCAATCGTCCAACAACTACTTTGATTAGTTCGGTTTAGAATTTTCTAATGTTACTAATTTTAGCTGTGCTAAACATACTGTATTAACATGAAACAACATCTGTACTTCTCAGTGAAAATGACTTTATCCATCAGGAATTGGTTGGATTGTAAAAAGTGGTTTCTATGTCGGCTGGAGGAGCAGGGCTGGTAAATAAGAGGGTCGACAACAGATTTTGATGAAAGATTAGAAAGAAATAATTTAATTAATTAATTAATTATTATTATTATTATTATTTTAAATAACATGAAATGATTAATCATAATAAGACCTGGAATGTTTAAGAAAGTAAACAGAGTTAATTTTAATGTCATGTTGACTTTAAAGAGGATTACGTTAGAGACATTTACTGTTAAATTATTAGCATGCTAAAATACAGCATGCTGACAATACACTAAAACCAGATTGCATCTATAAATTACATCCACTTAAATTAATCGCCACTGCAGCCGTTTGAGCATTGCTTTTAGAAAGTAATCTAATACGTTCAACAATATATTTACACAATTACAAAATAAATAAAAAAAACAATTGTTAAACTATGTATACTTTGTTTAGCCATTTTTGTGCATCTCACAGTTTTTTGTTTTCTTTCAGTATCATAAGAGCTGCATTTTCATGACATTGTGTCAAGCTAAAAATACTTTTAAAAACAATCTTGTCATATTCTGCTGTGCTTTTGTCCAGCTGTTCATGAAAGCAAGAATGTGTCCTGCGTCACGCAAAACCAGCATAACAGGTCTTCATTGATATGGTGATTAGTAGGTTAGTTGTGAAAATATGTATATACACACACTACAGACTACAATTCATTTTGCACTGTTTGGGGTCAGTAAGATTGTTTTAAGAAATGAATACTTTTATTCAGAAAGGATGCAATAAATTGATCAAAAGTGATAGTAAATACATTTTTTTATGTTGTATGAATGCTGCTCTTTTAAATCCTGAAATATCTTTCCATAGAAATATTAAGCAGCACAACTGTTTTCAGCCTTGATAATAATAAATGTTTCTTAAGCATCAAATCAGCACATTAGAATGATTTCTGAAGGATCATGTGACACTGAAGACTGGAGTAATGATGCTGAACATTCAGCTTTGCATCACAGGAATAAATGACTTGTTTAAATATATTTCAATAGAAAACAGTTATTTTAAATGATTTTAATTTTTACAGTTTTTGCCTTGGTAAGCATAAGAGACTTCTTTCAAAAACACTTAAAGATATTACCGACCCCAAACCTTTAAATGCTGTTATGTTTATGAGATTCTTGCCACATACTTGGCTTGACCCTCAGGGCCATGGGGGGTTTCTGAACGATTGTGCGTATCCTGGAAAAGGAGGCAAAACAGCAGTAGTCATCGTGGCTATCTGTCACCAGTGTATTAGAGAAGTACAGATTCCCACTGAGGCCCATGGACACCCTCTCATTCTGCTCAATGTGTCGAAGATCTGAGAACAATACAGAGAGGAGGGTTAGATTAACATGAGCAACAGGACATCGGAGAGGGCAACCATCCAAACCACCCAGAAACAGCCCCATCTGACACACTGCAAAGAAGATATCAGGCATCATGGGTAGAGCTTTGAATGCTCAGGGATTCTTGTTCCTCTCAAGTAGTGTAGGTGGCTCAACATGATTAAGCCGCCTCTTCAGCTCAAGAAGTGAAGACATGTACAATAATAACGCTCATTGCTTTTTTAATCAACTGTCTTGCTTTCCAGGATAAATATCTAAAACAAGGTGCATTTACTTGAAAAGAAAATTTACATACAGTAAGTTTTTCCTTCACAGAAAGTTAATGAAATTTAGAGGGGTTAATGCTTATAAGGAAATAAAATAAAAAATTAATTCAAACTGATAATTCAAGTTTATTTTTCTTACCCTCACTAAACCTCACTAAAGATTACTCTGAAATCTAATATTTATTTTCTTCTCAAGTAAATTTGTCTTGTTTTAAGGAAGTTTATATGTATTTATTTATTTTGCAAAACAACAAAAAGTAAGAGCATTTTTTTTCTTTGTCTATCTTTAATAATTAATATCAAATTAAAATAATATAATTAAAGGGATGGTTCAACTAAAAAAAAAAAAAAAAAAATTTTTTGAAAATTTTGCATTCTGTCACCCTCAACCTTCCTTCCTTGAATTTCCTTCTTCTGCTGAACACAAAAGAAGACATTTATAAGACTGTTGGAAATCAAACAGTTGCCGGTCCCAATTGACTTCCATAGTATTTTTTTTTTCTATACTATTGAAGTGAATGGCTACCAAAAACTGGTTTGGTTACCAGCATTCTTCAAAATATCGCATCTCAACTCAAAACTCATTCAGGTTTGGAACAACATCAGGGTGAGTAAATGATGATAGAATTTTCATTTTTGGGTGAACTATGCCCTTTAATAATGATAAATGCAGAAAACGTTTAGAAACCAAAATTCTCACTTTTATTATTGGGCCTATATGCATATTATGGCATTTTAAATAAATGTTAATGTTTGGTTTTAATGGCATTTTGTTTACTTTTAAAGTTTTGTTCTGTTTCCAGGTGTGAGCTTTTGAGATTGACTGATTTATTGTTTTACTGGCTTGACAGAAAGAATCAAATTCTTCAAATGTCACATATTCCCAGCGTTCTTTACAAATTGCAACATGTAACATTTATCATCAAAAGCCTGTTATTAGCGGAGGCGGTAGAACTCCAGTCTGGCGCCAGAAAAGATAGTTATATACAGTTGGTTGAAATATATGCACGCGTCTGTGTATCCGTTTAGCAAAAAACATGGAATGACTGACATATCACAAACAATAACGTTTGCTGTAACAGCTGAGGAAGTCAGAAGCAGTGTTATTTTTGTATCATTAATATTAGGGATGCACCGATACCACTTTTTCCAGTACTCGCCTGATACCGATACTTTTATTTTTGGTACTTGCCGATACCGAGTACCGATACCGATATTTTTATTGTATTTGTACATTTTTTAAATATTGGGTACAGAAACCGAAAGGTTAGTTGTTAGTTGGTTAACTTAATTTATCAAATAGATACAGTCAAACCAAAATCTATTTAGACACCTTCATATACACTATTATATTTTCTGTTGATATTTTGAATTAGATTTTATTTTTATATTTTTCATTTTCACTCAAGTTTTGTTCATTTTGTTGTATGCTTCAGTAACTTTTTTATGGTTTTAATTTTAGTTTTGGTTAACAATAATAACCCAGATCTGAAGGAGTGATATTCAAACTAAAAAAAAAATTCACAGCATTTAAATTATCTGCTTGGTAAACGTTATGTGCAGTAAACTGATTTAAAGTGTCTTGAACTACCATTGGTCATCCAGTACAGCTGCCATCTGTCTTCTCCTTGGGGAACTTGGGTACCACTGTGAGCAAGCACAAAAACAAAGCAAATAAACTCCTTTAAATTCATAGCAGTCACTGTCTTATTAAAGCATAAGACAGATAGACTACCAATGAAACTGTCAGTAGATTAAAAACCAGTTGAGCAGCATCATGTTGCAATATGCAAATTTCTTGGACCAGATCTGAGGAAATTCTCAACACAAGAATTTCTAGAATTCTGCTATATTCATTTCATGATCAGCAGCCGAGATAACGTGTCACAGGGGATATATGAACTGTGACTTACCAGGCACAATAAATTCAGATTCCTCTGATATTGCAGTTCCGAGCTTGTTTGAGGCATAACATCTGTACTTTCCCTGGTATTTCACTTTCTCTTTAGTGTTGGGTATCACAAAGGTCCCACTACTTTCTTCTTTAATGAGCCGAGGGTCTTTATGTGGGTCAAAATCCATCCCATCTTTCGTCCAGCGGTACCTGTTCAATTAAAAACACACAACAGGCACTTATTAGGCATGCACATAAAAAAACTTAATGGAACCATCGATGCCCATAAAAAACTCTTTTTAACTATTTTCAAGAGTGTATAGTTGGTGTATATTATATTTGTCTTCTACTTTTCTTCTAATTATTATGAATTTAAGTAAGAATACTGTAAGAATACTGTGTTTCAGTAAGTTTTCTCTTTCTCCTCTCATCAAATGCATAAACTGTTTTTGTGAATCCATAATTAAAGACTTACTGACACTTATCAAATAAAAAAATAAATATGTAATAAAAAGTTGGAATCTAAAACCAAAACATAATTTAATGTATTTTATTTATAGATAAATTCCTGTGATCTGGAATGTCTGTTTTACTCTGCGGGGGATGAAAAATGAATATTTACAGTGACAGGAAAAAAACATATTTTCATTTTGAATTTTCACACGTTGCACAAAGAAATGGCTAAGCTTCCTTCAGCCCATTAAAGGCAATTTCATTTGGATATTTCTTCAGTTTTTCTGACATCCTTAAGTGCCGGACATCTCACTCACGTAGGTCTTGGGTTGCCTTTGGCTTCACACTTGAACAGGAAGTTCTCATCATATGGCAAGGCAACGAGAGAGCCTGAGGTCTGAGTGGTGATGGTCGGCAGCTGCTCCACTACAGGAAACATATCACAGGATAAAAGAGCTGTTGAGATGGCCATCTGTGCTAAAAAGGATGCTTGTTTCTGGAAGAGTTTACTGGATAATGACATGTAATACTGTTGAATAATGATCATAGCCTCAAGTTGAAGTTGCATTGATAAGAACGAACACCTGAGAGCAATTTAACTGTCCTGGCACTTACCGTGAGGAGGGAAATAAAGACCAAAGGCAGTGGAGAAGAAGGCCGACAGGAGCCCGACAATAAGGCTCCTCAGCCCCCTCATCCCAGCCAGCAGATAAGGACAAAGGTGAAGGAAATGCAGAAAACACCCTCACAAAGTTGTTAGTTTAGCAAGAGCTCTTCACTGACTCCTCCAAGGAAAAGATCTAAAGAGACAAAGAAAGAGTACAAGAGTAAGAACAGAGAATAAATTGTAATAAATCCTTTTACAGCAAAACTGAGAGGGGATTTGAAGTGCTGTTTGCTTTGAACAGGTAGTCTTAGGTGTTTTTTCAACATTTTGGATTTATAGCAGGTGAGATGCTTTTAAAACATGTTTACCTCCAGCAAAAGCAAGATTATATTGATGCAAATCATCAACGCAGTCTGCAATAAAATATAGAACTGGGTCAATGATGTGACACTATTTTCCCCCTAGCTATTAAATACATTAAACTGAGTACACGTTTTCTGTGATGAATGTTTTCAATTTCTGCATCAAAACTGATTCTGATATATTTTGGGGGTACATAAAGCCAATATTTTTTTCAAATATATATATATATATATATTTTTTTTTTACAAAACTGCTTCACTGTTAATCACTGTTATTTATTAATATTTAAATGCATTTGTCTGCAAAATTATGCAAAATCAAGTCATGTGGTGCAAAAAAAGATGCACAAACCTACAGAAAAATACAAGCAGGAAATTATATCAAAAGGACCCATTCAGACCCTCATTACTCATTAGCGTCAATACGTTCCTAAAATTTGTCCTTTTTAGGACAGGATGAGGTTAGTTCAGGTTATAAAATGTCATGTGGTGCAGACAGTCACTTGCTCCATTTCTAAATGAATTAGCCTATTGAACGAATCGGCTAAATGAATGACTAAGTGACTCACTCATGACTGACTCACTCAAGACAGTTACTTGCTGCTAGCTACTGTCCGTTTTCTTTTCATATTTAAAGCATAATTAAATTTTTTAGCATTTCACATATACATATTGAAAATGTTATTTTTAAAACATTATTCTCATAGCTTGTTATGCAATTAGTTGCAGTGTAAATGCATTCATGCATTACACAGTCTGTGCAAGTGTACCTAAAAAACAATTCAGATGCAACCTCTATGCCACTTTGACAGTGCAAAAATTAATTAAGCTGATACTAATTTCATTTGATTGGTAACAGCTCTATAATGCTTTATTACTAAAATTGAATTTATTGATTGTTTATTTGACATAAAAAATGATAATAAGGTTAGAAAAATACCTTTATAAAGGTAAAAATGCCCCTGAAAATCCATTCAAGGTTGCAAATATCAGACTTTAAAGTTATTTTACTGGTGTTAACCAGCAATTACGCAGCATATAAAGAATATGAAAAGCTTTGGGTGTCAGCTGTCCATGACATGCCTAAACCAGCCAAGGTATGAGCTCAAAAACATACTCAACAAAATACTGCCTAATTATCATCATTAACAAACTCTCAGAAAATAGCGAGATATAATGTATTTATAGTCACATGTAATCAAGGTGTATGGAAAATATGGTAGAAAGTTTCATATGTGCAGCTTAAAAAAATAAAAATAATTTTGCATGTGCAAAATCAAGACACAAAGGCCGCAAGGCTAAAATGAAAGCCATCAGCTGAGAAAAGAATTTGACGTTGTTTATTTCTATGAACTTGTGTGCGTTGTTTGCTCTCACGCCTCTGTGAAGGCTGATGAACCGTGAGCTCACTCGTGCTGCAGGCTCATTCCACACATAATCGTTTACACTCACAAGCTGCAAAGAGTCAAGCCTCCTCCACAAATTACCAGCATCAACCTCAGATTAACTTTCCTCATCCTGGAGTGGCCAGAGGTCACAGATTGTCTCACTCTTGCCCCTGGCTCATAATTTGGAGGTTGGGTGTATAAGTCTTCCCCTGTCTCACGAAGAGCAATCAAAACACCTGGATGGACTCGAGGAATCAGCACACTAATTGCACTGACAACAGTGATGCCCTGAGATGCAGAGATTTTGCAGAAGAGGAAAATGTGTCTTCAGAATAATAGTGGTTCTGTTGAAAAATTTAAAATGGCCAAGTGAAACTATATAAAACTGTGATGTTTGATATCGAGATGAATGAGAATGATAGTCAAAGATAGTCATCTATCTGGTGCTTTTAAAAAAAGTTTTAGATGTCGCAATTTTAGGTAGCTATATTGAGCTATATGACCTGAAATCACATATATTTTTAGAAAAAGACTGGCTTAATGATTTTTGTTGAAGGTTTTTCAGTAACTTTCATAAATGATATTATTTGGGATATAAAGACCATGTTGGAGGGGTGGAATGCTGTCTGAAAGGACCCACTATAGTCAAAATGCCTCTAAAATTATTTCAGAATATGTATAAATTGACAGATAATAAAAACATATACAGTAATTAATAAATTTGGGATGTGGAGGATGAAAATGCAGAACATGGAGACTCATTTGCAAAATTATTCAAATAGCTCCAAGATGTGTATTGTACATGATTTTTCATAAAATCCTTAAGGTTATGAAATGGCAGACAGGATTATATTAGTGCACTAATTCCTCATATAGTTATTTTGAATAAGTACACTACCATGCAAAAGTCTGGGGTTGGAAAGATTTTTAAATCCCTTATGCTAATCAAGGCTACATTAATTTGATCGAAAATCAAGCGTAGCGTTAGTTCTGGCAGGTCACGTTAGTCAAGCTCGCATCAGCTGACTCTCAGCTGATCCCCATCTACCCATGGGAATACAACACCTATCTAAGCATTCATATATAAGGTCCCTCAGTATTATCAGCAGTTTTCGCATTGCTCAATAGCTGAGATTTATGTTGGTTCTGTTCTGTTTACCCTGGGGGGTTATTGCTGTTCTCCCTTCTCTCATCCATGCAAGGCTGCATGGATGCGCAGGGAGTTCTTGCCCAGAACAGAACCATACCGCCAATCCAAACCGTATGCTAATTGTCAATCATCTTTGACGATAGTGGTCCTGACAGAAATACAGTAAAACAGCAATACTACGAAAAATTATAATTTAAAATATATTTTTTTTATATTATTTGAATATATTTTAAATGCAATTTGTACCATGATGGCAAAGCTGAATTTTCTGCATGATTACTCCAGTTTTCAGTGTCACATGATCATTCAGAAATCAATCTAATATTATGCTGCTCAATAAATATTTCTTATTATTATCAAGGTCGAAAACAGTTGTGCTGCTTACTATTTTGGTGGAAACCATGATATTTCTGGATCAACAAAACGTTAAAATTAACAATAGTGTTGAATGGTAGTGTATATACTTTAGTGTTGCTGAAAATATAGGCCTATGTATTGCTATAATTAAAAGTAGTTGCATCTGCAGCAGGTGCCTTTATATTTACATAATTTAATCAAAACAAACTTATTTTACAGTTTCTTTTTGTACACAATATATGATATAGCAATCTTCCGAAAAAAAAAAATCATCTTTTTATATAATATACTCCATATATGTTGTAGCTAGTCAATTTAATTTGTATCTTAAAGATTGCAGATCCTCGCAAGTGCCTGATGCTTATAACAACATAGAGTAAACTTCTGACACCATTCACAAACACAAAACCACTGAGATCTTTAATTCTGGCAAACAAATGTCACATTATCAACTGCAACAGCATAACTGAACCAAATACATCCACTTCAAATCATACTGTAATTATTTACAGATCTATTTCAAATGAACAAATTAAAAACAGCATGCGCAGCAAGTTAATCAAACAATGACCCTGAGGAAGACAAACTCACTGAAGCACATGACTGCATATTTCATCCATTAATCCTAGAGGATGAATATAGAAAGATACCACAGACTAACATCAGAGAAAACTGCTGAGGCTTACAGGTACAACTTTCTCATTTGCTTCACTGTCACCACACACTTTAACCATTACACAGACAGCCTGAGCCAGCTAAACAGAACAAGGAAACTCTGCTTACTTACAAGTACACACTCACACACATGCAGTCAAGACAGTAATTCCCAGAGATGGCAGTGATAGTATTAAACAGCATTCAGACTGAGCATCCAAACTCTCAGCATGCTCTTCAAATTCCTACAGAGAGAGAGAGAGAGAGAGAGAGAGAGAGAGAGAGAGAGTCCGAAAACATGCCCCGGCACTCCAGCAAAGCACTAAAGGGGATCCAGTGAGGAGACATATGTCGGCAAAGCCTCTCACCAGGATAGGAGGCTCGCTAAACCTTTGACAAAGATTCAAATAAAGCCTGATCCGCCGAGCTATTCACAAACCATTAAAGAATAGTCCGGAAAGTGCTGGAATTCTTGCCTACACAACTCAACGCATCAGAACAACCTTGACATGAAAACACAGCAGCCTGGAGAGACTTTGCCACTGAGCTATTTGACTGAAAAACAAACCTTGAAATCATTTTATCCTCCTATAATCATTTGTAAACAGAAAAGTGTGGTTTGATGAGCAGTCAAGTAGGAAACTGCTTTGATTAGTGATAGTAGCATGCAGTGTGTCAACAGTGAAAATCCTCTTAGTATAATGAAGACTATTGTCTTAATTCCTAATGCTGTCTTATAGGGTCGGCGGATGCACGCCGATTGCATTGTGCCGAGACACAACACACAATTGCTTGTTGATAAAACACAGCTTGTGTTGAAATCTCAATCATACAAGGCAATTTTTACGTTTATGCTCAATTTGATAATTAGCGAGTGGAGTATAATGATTTTTTTAGTGCTTTGTGTCATTTTGTGGTCTGCTCGACCTGCCTATTGTACTTAATGCTTTCTACCACCATATGGCATGTAGAAAGTACAAACAAAGCCTTAATAACAGAGTGAAGGACACACTGACTTTACAGTATGTCTCGGTACAGCTGAACATACATAAAGCAACAACACATGATTCCAGACTGAGACATATTCACACAAAGCAAGCAAAGTATAGACAGTGGACACAAAGTTCTATACTTTTTGCATATAATGTGTACACCGCAATGTAAACGTTATCAAGAAATGCACTTTACAACTAGCAATGCTGACATAAACTGTTTGAGTAACAAGGAGGGGAAACAATTTTCTGGTATTGCTTTTATACAACAGCTCAATAAACAAAAAGTT